CTAGCTGTTCAAAAAAGGAGTTAATTAAATTTCTGCAGACTTCACATTAATTAATCCACATGTATAACTTGAAAGATCATAAGGGCAAAAGGGGTTTACTGCTTGATAATCTCACTCTTACATGATCAGAGGTTCTCAACTGTGTTTTTAGCCTTACAGTGCCCTGGGGGTTTGAATGGTATCCCTTATTGCCTGAATGTAAGGAAATAAAAGGGTAAGTGTACGTGTGTTGCTACTTGGTAGAACAATCATCAGCATCTTCCCAAGCAATTGTGATCTGTATACACCGATAGTTATGGAAGAAATGTTCTCAGTTTCCATGTGCTTTTATTATAATATTTGATGCAGATGTTTCTTTACCAACATCTGTAGCTATTTCAGAAGATGCTATAATGACCATTTGTCAATTTGTTTGCTATGTACTTTACTTGCATATGCCTTTATATTTTTAGCTCTTTGGAGCAGAGATATCATCATTTGTGTGGTACATTCTACCTATTGTAAGGCACCGTGTAATATTATTTATTCTCTAAATAAATAATACTGTTTATCAAGGAATAGTTTACACTTCCTTTTCTTGCCATCGTAAAACATTCTATTATTTTTATGTCAATATTTTTGAAGAGACCACCCTCTTCCTATTCATTATAGTATCTATCGCTACGGTTACCATTAACGCAAATATCTCTCTAAAAATAGATTGCAACTTCTCATTCACAGCTGATAGCTACTACTTATACCATTAATTATTTTTAGCACAATTATATAAATGAGGAAGAGAAATTGTTCCACATACCCTCGATCCTGCAAATTTCCACAACTACAGCCCTTCCCACAAAAGCAACAAGGAAATTAGATATCTGTTAAGTTGAAAGATAAAACTATACTGGAAGTCTAGTCAGATATAGTAGCAAATTCAAATATCATCTGTTTTAAACAACCATAAAGGACTCTATTTCTGAAGTAGTACAGAGCTGCACCCTAGATTTCAAAATATACATATAGTCTCAAACTTTGAGCCCACATGCAGACTTCTAAGCAGCTTCAGAATTTGTTTTTTTCGCTTTTGATTTCTAGAAGAACCGTAAGAAATGTGGATGAAAAGTTGATGCATTTATCCAGAAATATGATGTGCTACAACACAATTACATAATTCTCAAATTTTTGGAATCCTTCCACTAGAGAGCATTTCACCCTTTTGTGTCCTCTAAAAAACCCACCACCTGATATGGATGCCTCATTTTCCATATTAATTTTATTTTTTAAAGCTTGGCATTTTAATAATTAATTAGTTAATAATGCTGCCATTGTGCACCCATTCATTATCTAACTTAGTTCACCATTTTTTTCTTGCCTTCCATAGTCCTGAACTAAATTTATCAAACTCTTTATTCAAGGTGACAATTGTGAACTAGATTATAATTATTTTAAAACCAACAATTACTTGGACAGAAGTTAAACAGAGACTTTAAAATCTGAGACCCCTGTGTCTTGCAAACTTAAGAATTTCAAAAGACTTAATGAGACCAACTTCATAGGGTTCTTTGTTCTTTCAGGAATAGAACACAAAAATTACAGTATTTGCTCCCAGTGCCAATGACATTCCCAGAAAAGTACAATGAGAGAAAGTTTTTCACATTTACTATGCCAAAATACATTTACTGAAGTCTTTATGGTTTCTTTTTATATTACATAAGATGTGTCCAAATAGGTCTTCAAGCTTTGCGCCCATGAATTTTCCCCCTTCACTGTTAATCCCAAACACGTCCTTTGTCTTGTTTTAGATGATCTTACTTTTCCTGACTTTAGGAGGTGCCAAATTTGTAATCCAATACTAGCTTTTGCACCACCCCAAAAGACTATAGGCATAATGTATCAGACCTCATCGACACCCAAGAGTAAGACTACGCAAATTGGTACCAAATCTGGAAACCATAGCCACAAACATGGGCCCAAAGTTTCTCGGCTTCATTATTATTGCTTGAGTAGCCTTCCATACATCAACAAAGTTATTCAGGTAGTAAGCATTATTTCTGTAAGCATTTGCAAGACGAGGCCTATAGATGGCATATTATAATGCACTGCTAAAATGTTAACCCAAAAGTCATATAGATGTCCTTCTGATGTGAAAGATAATAGATAATTCTCTTATTCAGTGTGTTTTTTTTTAAATTATTTTAAAATAAGTAGTAAATTACCTTAAAAACGAGTTGCAAAATGCTTCTCAAACACTACAAATTCTTAGTTACTGTCACTACTTATAAAAAAATCCAAAACCCTAACCCTAACCCATCTTTCAATTTTTTTATGCAAATCCACAACACTGTCTCCTTCAAATGTGAAGGTCAATAAAGCAAGAAAAGATTTTTATTTGAAAACCAACAGCACACTCTGCTGGCCTTCAGATTTCACAATGCCAACTGAATTTCAGTGGCATGAGGCATTTAAAAGTGCCACTTGAAAACCTCTGAAGCTTTCCAAAACCATAATATTACTGCCCATTAAAAATGAACAAGAGTACTGGTTCTCTTTTGTAAAAAAAGAAAATAATTAACTACCAGTATTTTAAATTAGTATTACAACTTTTGGGTTGTTTTGTAGTTCAAAAAGGCAGATGCAAACTGGACCCAGAAGTGTACAGTTAAAATAAAAAAAATATATTTAAGTCAGTGTTCAGAAAGATGTATACAAAGGGTCAGAGTGTGTATCAGACAGAGAAAACTGGAACTGGTCATCAGCTCAGGGGTGTTTCCAAAGACGGACTGATTCTTTTATCGGATTTTAATACACTATGCAATGCAAAATGACTATATTTTATTCTAGTGCTGGAGATGCATATTACTTGGGAATTACTTAAAAGTCCACAAAACAAATGAGAAAGAGAGTGTCCTTGGGAGGTTTTAAAAAGGCCATTAAGTAGCCTCGTATATCATTGACATGATCCAACTTTCCTGCATCAGCCCTGTAGGACTGTCTTTAGGAATATGTCTCATATTCCTTTTATTTTGGTTTAGCTTGAACAACATTGTTGTTACTTCCCCGCCCTGCACCACCTCCCTCCGAATAAAGTGAAGAAAACTCAAACACCAAAAACTGCAACAAATTTCCAGTGGGGAATTTTGCAAATACCACTGCATATTTCTGAGTCTGCTTCCTTTAAGAAACTTGCATTTTCTTGCAAGTTCTGCTAGGAAAAGTGACAATTTGTAACAATGTTAGAAAATAGTAATCCGTTTTAGCTTTTTAGGTACCTGTGCCCCTTTACAAAACAAGTTTTATCAGACACACAACAATTATCAGACAAACAGATGAACATGATTTGTTGGGGGAAGAGCCTACACAGCTCTGTAAAGGGAAATCATGCCACACCAATCCATCAGAATTCTTTCAGGCTGTCAAACACGGATAAGGGTGATACAGTGTAACTGAACTTTCAGAAAGCTTTCGACAAGGTCCCTCAACAAAGGCTCTTAAACAAAGCAAGGAGTGAAGGAAGAAGAGTGAAGCTTCTCTCATGGATCAGTAATTGGTTCAGAGATAGGAAACAAAGCGTAGGAATAAACAGCCAGTTTTCATAGTGCCCCAAGGATCTGTGCTGGGACCAGTGCTGTTCAACATATTCATAAATGATCTGTAAAAAGGGGTAACCAGCACGTTGGCAAAGTTTGCAGATGATACAAAATTACTCAGGATAGTTAAGTCCAAAGCAGACCACAAATAGCTACAAAGGGATCTCACAAAACTGGGCGACTGGGCAACAAAATGGAAGATGAAAGTCAGTGTTGATAAATGCAAAGCAATAGACTTTGGAAAACATAATCCCAACTATACAAACAAAATTATGTGATCTAAATTTGGTGTTACCACTTAAAGAAAAGAGATCTTGGAGACATCATTGATATTTCTTTGAAAACGTCTGTTCAATGTGCAGCAACAATCAAAAAAGCTAACAATGTTAGGAACCATTAGGAAAGGGATAGATAATAAGACAGAAAATTTCATAATGCCATGAGACAGAGAATTGGAAAAGGTATGGAAAAGAGCAACAAAAATGATTAGGGGTATGGAGCAACTTCCATATGAGGAGAGATTAAAGAGAGACTGGGACTGTTCATCTTGGAAAAGAGATGACTGAGGGGGTATATGATAGAGGTCTATAAAGTAATGAATGTTGTGGAGAAAGTGAACAAGGAAGTATTATTTACACCTTTACTCAACACATGCACCATGGGGCATCCAATCAAATTAATAGGCAGCAGGTTTAAAACAAACATAAAGAAGTACTTCTTCACACAATGCAGTCAACCTATGGAACCCATTGCCAGGGGATATTGTTAACGCCAAAAGTATAACAGGGTTCAAAAAAGAATTAGATAAGTTAATGGAACATAGGTCCATCAATGGCTATTAGCTAAGGTGGTCAGGGGCGCAACCCCATTTTATGGATGTCCTTAAACCTTTGATTGCTAGAGGCTGGGACTGAACGACAGGGGATAGATCGCTCAATAAATTGAGCTGTTCTGTTCACTCCTTCTGAAGCATCTGGCACCAGCTACTGTTGGAAGACAGGATACTGGGCAAGATGGACCATTGGTCTGACCCAACATGGCAATTTCTTATGTTTTTAAGTGTGGTACTTTTTCAGATAAAAGCAAGACAAGACAGAAACATCCTACCTCCAGCACACAAACAAAAAGTGAGACAAAAAAGTCTTCAGTCTTGCCCAAAAGGATTCCACAGAAGTACTCAGACTAAAAGTGAGAGGAAAGGGCATTCCAGAATTGCAGACTTTTACCAGAAGACTGTCCCTCCAGTCCTTTCTAGACTGTTTCATGGGATGAGTCAGCAAAGTAACTTCAAGATACCAGATCCTGATGCAGCAGGATGCTTTCTGAAAATCATCTTCTAAACTGGCCTTTCATGCACAATTTCTTTATAGCAACAAAATTTGTCTTTGTTTCTTGAACTAATAAATGTCCTACAAGACCCATGCTACTTACTGTTTTTGTAGAGAAAGCAGCAATTTTTTCTGAGTGAACAGTCAGTTCCCCATTTCTTCGCTGTTGATAAACTTCCAAAGCATCGACAAACTGCACTCCTTTTGCAAAACAATGACGTTTTCTTACCTGTTAGGAAAACATGCAACACTCAAATGGACAACAGGCAAAGGTGTGGCATTAAATCAGAGCTAAACTAATGGTCAAATGTTACTGTAATAATTTTAATTTTTTCTTCATTCTGTGCCTGTTTCAGAAACTCAGTACATTGTTAATACACAACAGTTTAACCACATCTAACGTAAGCTTACCAAAATTAATAATTTAAGAAAAGTTACTATAACATTTATACATCTTGGTTATCAAGACAAATATACAGCTTAATAGCACCTTTTTTTAAAAAAAATCATTTTGTTTTGTTAAATAAAAGCAATAAATGAATATGAACAATTTCTGTCATTTTGGAGTGATATTTTATTGAGCCTTCCTTGGACAAAACAGTTAGTGAAATAAAACTATACCACCATCACCACCTTTCCCGCTACAGACTCCTCAGTCACACAACGACTTTGGTAAGCAAAATTTACATCTAGTTTCAAAGATGAAAATGTATGTTTATGTTAATGTACTTGTTAATCATAGAAACCGGACACATTTCTTGCAGAATTAGGATCTACGCCTCTTTGTAAGATTGCGGCCTAAGTCCTACTGATTTAAACAGGTATCTGGGCATAGGTACCTGTACTAGCAGATTCCAATGCAGGATGGGGGCCAAGAAGAGGAGGTGGTGTTACAAATGAAAGTTACTGAAAATTATTATATAAATTATTACAAGTTTCTATGATACATTACGCTAGACCAGAAAGACATCCATGGCAAAGGAAGAAATGACTACAGAAGAGAATGGTGGGGGAGAAGGTGAGTTTCAAATATCCTAAATTGCCAAAAAAATTTGCAACCAATAGGCAAAAAGATATTGTATAATTTATAAATGCAGCAGCTGGTTCTATTGCTGAAATTTCCAGCAGAAAAATGAATAGCATATGAAATAAATAGAATCCTCCACCGCTACTTAGTTTTTCTTTAGTAATTAATGACATAGATATCAGTGATTAGGTCTCATCTACTGAATATCTTCTTGTATTATTTCCCGTTGTTATATGTTTTGATAAAACTAGTATAATTACTGTACAGACACACAACAGAAACATCCATAATATGAATGGCAAGGAAAAAATCCACCCGGAGGTTATTACTCTTCAAAAAAGTTAAAAGCAGTTCTCTGATACAATATAAAAACACAATACAATGATGACTAGAGTGCACCTCAGTAATATAAAAAAAATTAAGGCACTTGTAATACCAATATTGACAATGAAACAAAAACTTTAGAGAAATTTCATCCCATGTAAAAAGCTAGTGATAAGAATTTGGCAGAATATCAAGAAGCATTATAATGTATATTAGATTTTTAGCACATATGTGGAAGGGCATTTTCATGTCTAAGCATTCTTTTCTTTGACTTAACGTTTAAGAGCAACTGTTGGTGAGTAGGTTTCAGAGAAACAGAGTGTTTAAATTCTCCATGTACTAGCATGCACCAAGTAATTTATCTGCATGACAAGTTATTGTGAAAATCGAATATAACAATGGATTCCTTTGTAACAAGTAATAGTAAAAATGAAGAAAAAAAGTAATAATCTAATTTATGGCTGTGACATGACCAAGTAATCTCTAATTCTAGCACTGAAATATTGATATTTGACAACCTTGTTCAGCTATGCCTGGATTATTTTATTGCCAATAAACTTTACTCACCTGCTGCTCAGTTTCTAATAAACGTAGCCTTTTCCTGTCTACTTGAAAGTCATCATTTTCATCTGCATGTAAAGATGCCCATTTCTTTGCAGATAATTTTGAAGACAGTGTGACTTTTGCACTATGTTCTGTAGCAGGAGTATTCATTACTAAAAGTATATTAAATAAATGTAAATAACATTTCCACTCATAAAACTTAATCAGAAAAAATAGTTTAGACTCAAGGTGGACTATAATACTGGTAGACATTTCTAGACCCCATCTTCCCTTATTACAATGCAGTCAAATTTATATAGGAAGAATCATTAATTTAGTATTTTACTACTGCGTGACATGGAAAAAAAGGTTGGGCTAAGGGAGGCCTCCTAACAGAAGAAACATAACAAGCACTGCACTAGCTATTAGTTTCCCTTCTAAAATTGATTTTGGCTATATTGGTAAGGAATAAATATATTTTAAATTAAATTGTTGGCAAAATGCTTTGAAGATGTAAATTATTAAACAAGTAATAAAAATTATTGACTTTTAAAATATTATATAAGTGTTGGGGACACTGGGGCATGGCCACTAGGTAACTCAAGGGGATGGAAGACCACGAGTGTCGATGAAGCCCCCTTGCACTAGGCCCAGGTGTCCTTGGTGCCCCGCCCCCGCCTGGAGGCACTCGCAGCAGCTCTGCGCACTAGGCCCAAGTGTCCTTAGCCCCCCCGCACCCCCCGCCTGGAGGCACACACAGCAGTTATGCTGAGGATCTGCAACAATATGCTGCAGAGTCAGATTGCTTGAAACTAAGCAAGGCCAAACAGGGCAGATATGGAAGAACAATGCTGAATAAAGCAGCTTTATGAATAGTTCAACAAATGATACAGAGAATCAGGGAACTAGCTGGGAACTGGATTGGCTGGCTATATGGATACTTGGGGCAGCTTGCTATTGGATAAGTATGCTGGGAAAAAGGATGTATAAAAGCCTGTGTAACTTCCTGCTCTGTGTGCAGGATTTGAGATTTTATTCTCCCTGTACCTTTTTGCAGCTGCAAATAAACTTTTCTGCTTCTCCACCCCGTTGTGATTATTGGGCGTAGTACACCAGGTAACGAACCAACTCAAGCTGTTGTTCAGCCTCTCGGCACTGGGTGCCGGCAACAGCTTTTGGCGTCCCTGGGTGGGCTCGAGGCTGCAATTTAGCCTTGCCCAGACCCCTCCTGGAGGTCAAGGATTGCGGCGAGAACCGATGCCCAGTGCACACCGGTGAGTTCACCGGGGCCTCGGAGGAGACGCGATTTGATCGACCCCGGAGGGCACAACGGTGCAACACACTCATATAGTGGAGAAGCAGTTGTGGTGGGCAACGGTGAAGAACTGGTCCCTTGGATAAGGTAGGAACTTTTTGAAATCCGGATTGTATGCTCTGTTGGAACCTGGGGACGCCCAGAGTTACCCTGTAGGTATGGGACAGGGACAGAGCTCAGGGGTTAGGGCACGGTGTATGCCCCTAGAGTGCATTCTAGCAAACTGGAAGGTATTTGGTGCGGATCTGATGACTAAGAGCCAATTAAAACGATTCTGTACAGTTGACTGGCCTCAATATCTACTAGAGGACCAGGAGTGGTGGCCACCAGGAGGGTCAATTAATTACAACATGATCCTTCAGTTACTCCTGTTCTGTCAGAGAACAAGGAAATGGAATGAACATATGTATGCACATTTGTTTCTGACTTTATGTACTCGACCAGATATTTTACAGCACTGTAATCTGACTCCGACTGGTTCGGTGGCAGCTAATGTTAGTCCCCAGTAATGGCAGAGCCGGTGTCCCCTTCGGCCCCTAAATCCACACCTTGTAAGTCCCCCGAGCAGACCCCAGGTGGGATCCAAATGATCAAAGGGATATGACCCACCTTACCTCCTATAAGGAGTTGCTTTTGCATGGACTCTGTCACTCGGCTGTCCGACATAATAATTGGGCAAAGCCATATGAAGTAATGCAGGATTTAAAAGAAAGCCCAGGGGCCTTTCTACAGCGTATTCGGGACACCATTCTACAGAACACTAATGCAGACCCCGATGATCAGGCAACTGAGTCAATTATTAAGGGAATTTTTACGAGCAGAGCAGCCCCTGATATTAAGAGAAAGTTACAAAAAAAGGAGGATTTAATGGGCATGACCATGGCACAAATCTTAGAGACTGCAAACCGAGCTTATAGTCTGAGAGAGACAGAGAAGGAGAGAAAGCAAGTGAGATTGATGGTAACAGCGGTACAGGCCGGCACTAAGAGAAGTGGCCGGGAAGGAAGGGGCCATGGACGTGACCGTCCGGGCCCGCAGGATAGACGACTGGGTTGCAACCAGTGTGCCCTGTGTCAACAGGAGGGACACTGGAAAAATGAGAGCCCAAAGAGGAAAGAAAAGGGGGGTGCCCCTATGATGGCGATGGCGGAGCAGGAATAGGGGTGTCAGGGGAGACGGACCACCCTACCCCCGGAACCCTGAGTAAAGATGTGGGTGGGAAGCTCAGAAATAGATTTTTTAGTGGACTCTGGAGTGGTCCAAACGGCCATAAATCAGCCTCTTCAGTTGCCAGTAGCAGATTCCCTTACTGTGGTGGGAGCCATAGGCAGGGACACCAAGTGCCCAGTGTATGCCCCAGCGGAATGCGCTTTGGGAAACAGGACTATATCCCACAAGCTGGTATACCTCCCTGAGTGTCCAACACCTCTGCTGGGACAGGATCTGCTTTGTCGCCTCGGTGCCACCCTGCATTTTACTGAGGACGAAATAACCCTTACCTTACCCCCTGAGAATGCATGGATCATGACCCTTGCAGTTGAGCCCTCAGCCATGCAAGCCCCAGAATGGAGCCCGTGGGAAGACCAGGTGTACTTCCTTGTGTAGGCATCAGGGATTCCAGGAAAGGCCACCCACCAGACCCCCATTACTATTCAGCTCATACCAGGGAAAGGCCCAGTGCAAGTAAAACAGTATCCAATCAAGAGGGAAGCCAGAGAAGGTTTACAGGAAACTATAGATCGATTCCTAATGTATGGTATTCTCTGGGAACGTCAGTCAGCCTGGAACACTCCCATTCTACCCGTACAGAAGCCTGATGGCACGTATCGGCTGGTACAGGACCTAAGGGCAGTCAATGACCGGGTTAAGACTCTGCACCCTCTTGTCCCTAATCCGTATACCTTATTGGCTTCTATAGGGGGACAGTATACCCATTTTTCAGTCCTTGATCTGAAAGATGCTTTCTTTACCATCCCAGTTGCCACCCCGTCACAGGAGATCTTCACCTTCAAGTGGGAGGACCGAAAAAGGGTTAAAAAGCAACTCTGCTGGACAGTGTTGGCCCAGGGATTTAAAAATTCCCCCACCCTCTTTGGCCAGGCTCTGGCCAGGGACCTAGAGGAGTGGGATAATGAGGAGGCCCTCCTTCTGCAGTATGTAGATGATTTGTTAATTGCCACTGTGGGCCAAACCCCCTGCCTTAAAGCCTCCATGAGCATCCTGAATTTTATTGGACTCCAGGGATATCGGGTAGCACGGAGTAAGGCTCAAATTGCCCTCCCAGAGATACGGTACCTCGGGTTTCACATATGGCAAGGGGAGCGTCAGCGTTCAAGCGAAAGAAAGGAAGCTATCTGTCAAGTTCCTACCCCAAGTAACCGTAAGCGGCTCAGGGCATTTCTGGGTATGGCAGGCTTTTGCAGGATATGGATCCCAGAGTTTGGACTGTGGGCTAAACCCCTCTACGACTGTGTAAAAGGAGCAGATCATGACCCCTTCTATTGGACCCCAGAGGCTGACAGGGCATTTAAAATCCTGAAAAGAAAATTGATGGAAGCCCTGGCTCTGGGCCTGCCGGATCTCTCTAAGCCATTTCAATTGTATGTACATGAACGAAGGGGGGTGGCCCTAGGAGTGCTCACACAGCTGTTAGGAGCATGGAGACGTCTTGTGGCTTATTTGTCTAAGCAATTGGATCAGGTTGCAAAGGGTTGGCCGGCATGTTTACGGGCGGTCGCAGCTACTGCCCTAGTGCTTGAAGAAGCCGAGAAGCTAACATTGGGAGGGGTTATGCAAATCTATACTCCCCATATGGTCCGAGCCTTATTGGATGCAAAGGGAGGGCTTTGGCTCACCCAGGCTCGGTACCAGGCTAAGCTGTTAGAGAACTCTGACGTCACCTTACAGCCTTGCCCCTCCCTTAACTCAGCCTCTCTCTTGCCAGAAACAGAGGAACAGAAACATGACTGTTTAGAGATCATAGATGTCCAGTACTCCAGCCGTCCAGATTTAAAGGATGTACCCCTCCCAAATGCAGATTATGAGTGGTGCACTGATGGTAGCAGTACTGTAATAGATGAGCAAAGGAGGGCGGGTTATGCTGTTGTGACCCTCCATGACACCGTGGAAGCTGAAGGTTTGCCTGCTGGGACCTCTGCCCAGCTTGCCGAATTAGTAGCCCTGACCCGTGCACTTGAACTGTCAAAAGGAAAGCGGGTCAACATTTTTACTGATTCAAAATATGCTTTTGGTGTGCTGCATGCTCATGCTGGCCTATGGAAGCAAAGGGGAATGCTGACAGCCCAAGGCTCCCCAGTCAAGTACGGGCCCCAAATCCTCCGGCTCCTAGAAGCCGTACAACTTCCCTCGGAAGTGGCAGTGGTACACTGTAAAGCCCATCAAAGGGAGGATCAAGATGTGGCCAGAGGTAATGCCCGGGCAGATAGAGAGGCTAAGCATGCTGCCACCCTGCCATCCCCTCAGACTGAGAACGCCCATATGCATGCCCTTATCCCATCAGTAGGGGAGCTTCCAACCCCTCAGTACACTGGGGAGGAGAGACAGCTAACTGACAAACTCGGTCTCTGGGAAAAGGAGGGATGGCTCCATTCCCCAGAAGGGAAGGTTCTCTTACCAAAAGGGCCTAATCCGGCCAATGCTGCAGAAACTACATCAAACCACTCATGCTGGCAGGGAAGCACTTATCCAGCTAATGGGAAAATACTTTATCACTTCTGGACTCCGACCCCTGACTGCCCAGGTACAAGCGGACTGCTTAGTCTGCCAAAAGAATAACCCCCGACCGGGACATCCTGTGCCACCAGCTGCCCTAGAACCCACTCCGGGCCCTGGACAAGTGTGGCAAATAGACTTTACTGAGTTTCCCCGGACCCAAGGGTTCAAATATCTCCTTGTCATAGTGGATCGGTTCAGCGGATGGCCAGAAGCCTTCCCATGCCGTAACTGCACTGCCAGAACAGTGGCCCTCAAGTTTGTTAAGGAGATCATTCCTCGCTTTGGACTCCCCCCGTGGATGGAATCTGACCACTGGACACACTTCATGTCAAAAATCATTCAAAGCATCTCACATGCCTTACAGATCCCCTGGAAACTCCATACGCCCTGGAGACCGCAAGCCAGTGGGGTAGTGGAGCGTACCAATCAGACCCTTAAACGGCATCTCTCAAAAGTGTGCCAAGAAGCCTCACTGCGATGGCCTGATGCTTTGCCCCTCGTCCTACTCCGTATCCGCGTTCTCCCAAAGGGTAGATTAGGGCTCAGTCCCTTTGAAATTATGTTTGGAAGGGCATGGCCTGTGAATGGCACCCCGGTTCTGTCAGGGGAATGGGAGTTGGGTAATGGTTTGTTGTCACAGTATATGTGTTCCCTGTCTGCTGTTCTCTTGTCTCTTCACAGGTATACCAAGGATTCCCAGCCTCTCCCCTTGGACACTCCCGTCCACTCCTTACAGCCCGGTGACTCTGTGCTTGTTCGCACCTGGAAAAATAAGCCTCTCCAGGAAAAGTGGAAAGGACCCTATACCACCCTGCTGATCTCCCATACAGCGGCAAAGATCGAGGGACACAGAAACTCAAGGTTGTTGAGTGTTCTCAAAGGGGGGAGTTGTTGGGGACACTGGGGCATGGCCACTAGGTAACTCGAGGGGATGGAAGACCACGAGTGTTGATGAAGCCCCCTCGCACTAGGCCCAGGTGTCCTTGCGCCCCCCCCGCCTGGAGGCACACACAGCAGTTATGCTGAGGATCTGCAACAATATGCTGCAGAGTCAGATTGCTTGAAACTAAGCAAGGCCAAACAGGGCAGATATGGAAGAACAATGCTGAATAAAGCAGCTTTATGTACAGTTTAACAAATGATACAGAGAACCAGGGAACTAGCTGGGAACTGGATTGGCTGGCTATATGGATACTTGGGGCAGCTTGCTATTGGATAAGTATGCTGGGAAAAAGGATGTATAAAAGCCTGTGTAACTTCCTGCTCTGTGTGCAGGATTTGAGATTTTATTCTCCCTGTACCTTTTTGCAGCTGCAAATAAACTTTTCTGCTTCTCCACCCCGTTGTGATTATTGGGTGTAGCACACCAGGTAACAAACCAACTCAAGCTGTTGTTCAGCCTCTCGGCACTGGGTGCCAGCAACATAAGTTTATAATTACATATATATATAGGGGGAGTTCTGTAGATTAAAATAACCCACACCATTTTAAAATGGCAATCATATTAACCTCACATTTAAAAAGAATTTGTCTGGTTTATTTTTTTGCTGAGGGAACATACCTACCAGGGTACTGATCTTCTGTGCCAACTATAAACCTTAACCAGAAAAAGATAAATTTTATCTATCAATGTCAGGAATTAGTCATCTGTGAGGTATGTTCTCTCAACAAATGATATTAAATATAGAGCTGTGATGATAAAACAAAGGGTTTTTGTTTAATTTGGTAGCGAATCTTGTTAGAAGAACAAACAGTAAGGGTTCTAAACTGGCAGGGTGCTGAACTGAATGGGAATTGGGGTCACTCAGCACTTCACAAGACCAGCTATTTAATCCTTACAATATTTTTAAAGGGTCTGTCTTTTACAGCAGATGAAGCTTTAAAGTTTCTTATATGTAAACGTATCTCTTAACTTTCCATTGATCTTTTGTCATTGTCCCTGCTATTGTGGCTAACCAGAAGAAATTTTTACTTTCAAACAGCAATGATTATATCCTGTTCATAGGTCACATCCTTCTACTAAAAATCATAGGCACTGACTTTCTTCTTTCCAGATTGGTGCTCCACCCTCCTCTGCTGCGAGGCTCCACACCCGCTCCACCGTTTCCTCCAAGGACCCGCCCGCCTCTTTCCACCCCTACTCTGTCCTCCCCACAGCGCATCCTGCCTGCCTGCCTGCCTCCAAACAGCTGATCAGCGGATGGCTGGTGGGTGCTAAGCACCCGCTATTTTTTTTCGAGGCGTTGGCACCTATGACTAAAATCATAATGCTGAACTGTAACAGCAAAATTATTGAAACGGCAACATGTTGCCATCAGTAACAGAGGAATGTGGCTTCATTGTAGAATTGGGCATGAAGAAAGATTAGACTGCAGTAGAAAAAAACCTTCAATCAAGGAAATATCGAATTACAGAAAAATTACACTGATCCTTTATTTAATTTATGTACAAGTCTGTTTCCTCCAAACTTGTTTCCCAGTATTCCCTATACAACCTGATTTACAATGATGTAGTCTCACAAACTACCAAATGTAGATAGAATCACAGAACCAGTGTTAGAAGGGACCGCACGGGTCATCTAGTCTAACCCCCTGCCAAGATGCAGGATTTGTTGTGTCTAAACCATCCAAGACAGATGGCTGTCCAGCCTCCTTTTGAAAACCTCCAACGAAGGAGCTTCCACAATCTCCTTAGGCAGTCTGTTCAATTGTCCTACTGTTCTTACACTTCGGAAGTTTTTCCTGAGATTTTATCTAAGAGTTTGTTAGTCCATATTGTACTTGGCACAGAAATTATATGAGAAACCAGGGATGGCAACCTTATTCCAATAAATCTCTCATCTGTGTCAGTCAGGTTTGTTTATTATTATTATTTAAAGGGATACCACCAACTTGAAATCTAAGTTTTTTTTGTTTTTTTTTTAAAAGGAAAAAGTATTTTCAGGTACTACACCTATTCTAGTCCCCTGCCAATTTTTTATGGTTTTACAAATCACATCTTCATATTTTCTCAATGCTCTTCTACTCCCTGTTGCTGTGAAAGTCCCACAGTAATAACAGAGAAAAATGCTGCCAACTGACCACGTAAGAGTGCTGTCAAATGCATAAAGAAAACAAAATGAGAAAAATAATCAGAAAAATTCCCCCCTCCTGGCCACTCTTTCACTTAAAGCAATCTTAAGTGTATCCTTTTATAACAATGGGCAAAACACTTTCAGGGAGAAGTGCAATTTAAAGCTGACTTTTACACCAAAGGCCAGGACCAAAAGAAAAAAAAATATAGCATGTATTTATACAATGACCCTGGTACTTGCTGCTGAGAAAAACTGGTGAGATCACATGGATGTAGTGGGTAACACTCAATAGCAAGAGCCATGGGTAAAATACTTCATTGCAAAAGCACAATAGTACTCCTCCACTGAAATTTCCAGAACTAGTGGTCCTGTGAATCACATAGGGAAAAGAAGAGGAGGATTCAAATGAGGGTGTTCCCAGAACACAAACTACCAATTATCTACTTCCCCTGCATTCCAAATTCCAGAACTTAATATTTAACAGGTAGTAAAAACTATAAAGGTACTCGTTTCTGCATCAAGGTTTCTTTTGGTAGACTGGACTATAGTGCAGTGCTAGCGACCTGATGGGGAGCTGACTATAGGCTCCTGAACTTCAAACTAGTAAGAAGCAATGCAGGAGAACACTTGCAACCACTACTGAGCATAAGAGACCATAAACACGCTCACCTGTAGGGCTATCCTATGACATATTTTTGATTTGGAAACTTGGAAGAAAGGGGGAACTTTAAAGCCAGGAGCCATTAATGACCCAGAAAAAAGGTGGAGGGTGAAAGCATGATGAAGCACTCTTGATAAGTTATTGACTCGTGTGGCATTAGCAATCATAGGAGACATGAGAACCCAAAACTTGAATATCCATATGAGATGTCCACCCCCCCAAAAAAATAGAAAGTTACCTTTGTTTGTTGATGGTGTTTCACTTTTTACGGAGGTTGCTGCTTTACAAGTAGTGAAAGAACAAGAAGCACCTTGGTTCACATCTGCAGTAGTGTCATTAGTCACAGCCTGCGAATGGCATCTACAGTGACATGGCAATGAAGTCTCTGGTTTTTTGCACTCCTTTTCACATGAGAACTCATCCAGTGACTTCTCTAAAAACAGGACAGGAGACGGTCATTAATCTTCTGTTATAAAAGCATAACAACAGAGCCACATTGCAGAAATAGGCTCTCTCCATACTGTAGGAATAATCAGATAACAGTAGATTTTGTCGGAGCTATAGCTTGTAGTCACTGGGCCCACGACAGTTGCACAACTTTACAAAACAGATATATGGAAGTCATTTACAGAAACCCTACCCATTCAGCTACAAAAAAAGTACAGTAGACTCTTTGAGTTAATACTAACCACAATCTTAATCAATAGAGTAAGCATTATACAGGAAGGAAAAAGATGCACATATATAGATAAGATCCATCACAGTTCCTCTGAATGGGTATACAAGCCATACTGACCCATAGTATACAAGGTTGTACGCGAGTATAAGAAAAACTGAAAAATTCCCTAATTTAGCAGGTTTTGAGTCCTAGCCAGAAATAAGGACATTATCTCCACTACATAAAGAAAACACATGTAAACTCAGTTTTCCCCAATGAAGGCAGCACAAAGTCTTTCAAACAGTAAACAGAGGGAGACTTATTAATATTACTATGTACTAATTTGGGCTTGCACTTTGATCTGGTCCATTAGTAAATTATGGGTGTAGTCTGTATTGTGTATTTTACTTAGATTATAAGCCTTTTGGTTAGGGACTCCATCTTCCTCTATGTATTGTATAGACTAAGCATACTATGAAAACTCTAAAATAAAGAATAATAGTTAAAAACAATTACAATAATTTACAGAGCTGGAAAACATACATTTTCCAGTTCACAATGTCATAAATTTCAGATAACCAAAAACATTTTCTTTAACTATCCTGATACTTATATTGCCACCTTAATATAACATTCAAAGCCATATCCATTTTAATATGAAAATAACGGTGATTAGGTCTACTATCTTGATTGTCCATAAAGCTGGCATCAACCATTGGCATAAGGACTGACAAGGAGATTTGGGTCCATTCCTGAAACTAGATTTCTGAGGTTATCCACAGACCTAATTTATTTATTAATGCAGACAATCCTTGCTAACTGAAACTGGGCATATAGGCATTGTGAGATAACTTACCATGCAGAGACTGCTGCCATGATAATACAGAACAAAGTAACGCCAAACTTTTACCACTTCCTGTGGGGCTCTCCAACAAACAATGTTGCCTGGAATTTAACCCCCTAACAATCTGTAAAGAAAAAATAAAAAGTTAATAGCTCAGAAGAATCAACAAGTAAACTTTCACGTTGTCTCTTTGGGAGGGGAAGGAGTGTAAATATATATTTATCACATTCCCATCAGCGACGTGCAGTAATCTTCTGTGTCAGCAACAAGACAGTAACTAAGAAAGAAAATGAAGAACATCTCCAGATGACGCCACAGGGATTATTTTTTTTTAAAGGCAAGCTGAAAGTAATTTCCTAAATGGAATTTGACGAGGTCCTCAAAAGTTCATACTTTTGAAAAAAAAAAAAAATCTCACAGGACCACAAGTGGTCATTAGGTCTTGGTTTTCTCTCAAGTACAGACATTTGCAACACCTCTCACTATTCTGGAACATAGGTTCAGTAGTGACTCAGATCGGATTGTCGACTACCTCCCCATATAGCAGCAACACCTGATCAAGGGCTTGTCTACACTTGAAACGCTGCAGCTATACTGCTGTAGTGCTTCACTGTAGACACAACCTCTGCCAATGAGAGGGATTCTCCCACTGGCATAAGTAATCCACCTCCCTGAGAGGCGGTAGCTACGTAAATGAAGAATTCTTCTGTCAACCTAGCACTATCTACACCGAGGTTAGGTCATCTTAACTACGTCGCTAAGGGATGTAGAGTTTTCACACTGCTGAGCGATGTAGCTGGGTCAACCTAACCTTTTAGTGTAGATCAGGCTCAAGTCGGAATCTGTTTATCCTTAATGTCATAGGAGCAAAGAATGATGGCAGGCCATTAAATACTTCCTTGTCATAATTTAAGTTTTAAATGTAATACGTGGAAGATAAAACATCTATTCCATCAATAAAATGAAAACTTACTGGGTTTGTACTGTATCTTTTGATCAAAAGATAGCAGGCATTTTGCTGAAGCCTTCCCCTTCTGCACTTGCAATATCAAATAATTATTTTAATACATAATTTAACAAGATATTTAGTGTGTATTCACCCTAATACTCCAAAAATATAACTAAGCTCTCCCTCACATATATGCAAATACAGGATGTTGTTGCTTGTATTGTAATGGAAACACTGGCGATATTGGAGGTTCTGAATTCATATCTAAAATTCCCTTTTAAACTTTTAATTTACTACAGGTTCAAAATTATAACACTACATAAACTATTAAACCAATAGATTTTAATGACAAGTCTACTTACTGCATTCATCATAGCAAGCTGTGAAGGGTAAGCCTTGCAAGGAAAGACAATCTTCACCCCACCAATGGTATATTCTGACACTACCAAAGACATTGTCAGGGTTCTTTTCCCTTATTTATTTCAAATTTATGTCTGCAATGAAAATGAAAAATGTTGACAAATCAATTCTACCTCAGCAGCTATCAGAAATCTGCAAACAATATAAGGCACCAGATAAAACTGAGTATAAACTGTTAAGGTGATTTGGGGACTAGGTGGTTCAGGATATTGGCTATGGTGGGAATATAGTGCTTTACACCTATAGGTCACCAGTTCAAATTTAGCCCATCTTAGTAATGACAGCAAGTTATTACCATCTGAGGACTTTTCAGTAATTTAAGTGATATAATAATAATTACTAACATACTATATGTATTACCTTTTGGAATAAAATCACTCAAACTGGACTTTGGCCAGGATATTGGTTTAGCACCCCAACTCCTGTGAATAACACTTTGGGATCTTTAATAATCACAAGCAATCAGTTCCTCAGTTTTACTAGTTAGCTAGAACACCAAGACAGTGCATCCTGTGGTGATATGGCTGAGAAGAATGGTTTCCAGATAAGATTTTCCATCCTTATAGCAATTTATAAACATTAAAAGGGACGCTATACGTTTAAAAATCAAATGTTTTAAATAAACATTTCTTATCTAGGTTATTAATAATGTAATTATTAAAAGAGAAAATATAATTTAACTGTCACTATTTACAGTGATACTTTTCATTGTCCAAAGTGAGAGATGTGCAAAAAGTTAAGAGTTGAAAATGGTATATAGTCAGTTTCATGTTCAAAAGCTGCAATGTTTGGATTTCAAACACTGAGGGGAAATATAGGGTAGCTTGTTGAAAAATAACTCTTCACTATATTTTTTTAAGGTTGAGAAAACAATTCCCACAGGTCATACGTTATACAAAAAACTTCTTTTTACAAAGTTAAAATTTGGGACCAAATTTAGCAACATCCCTTTCACTGATGAATTCCCTAACTGAAAGGTCACAGTCTCAGTGGACCACCATCAAAAGGCCATCATAACGATTGGTATACGCAGCACCATCATAAACAATCTCGCAGGAAGGACTCTACCTACCAAAAAAAGAGAGGACTGGTACCCTCAAATTACAACCTAACCTACCCTGGCCCCCCAAAAAGGGACAATCACCTGTCCCAGGTTTAGTAAATTTTCCCTCAAATATACTCAGAAAGGCGTTGGGTCCCTCTGAAGCAAAAACGATTATTCGTATTGTGCCCAAAGTTTGCTAAACTTGCTTTATGCGAGAAAACAAGGTCCCTATCAGAAAAGTTTTCGCTCTAAATAGACAAATCCAGGGAGAGGGACGCAGGAAGTGGAACGAACCTAGCAGGACGCTGGTCCCCAGCTTATTTAGCCCCAGTCTCTGCTGATATTTTTGTTTTTGCTATTTACAAACAGTAAGAAGTTTTGTATCGATATTGACGCGCCAGTGAAAAGTTTTGTGTCTGTGACATAGGAACTGAGCCCTGGTGCAGCTCGGGGGGGGGGGGGAGAAGAGGAGGAATAACACGTCTGTTTGGTTTTTTTTATTATTATTATTTTTTTTTCTGGTATTCTTTATTTTCTTCGCACACTTTCCCCCACTTAAAAAAGGGCAAATAGGGGTGGAGGGGTGAAGAGAGACCCTCCTACACACTCCTCAACCCAGCAACAGGAAGATGACAGGGGTCTCCCCCAGATCCCGGACCAGAGGGGAGATGTACCCAGGGGTCTCCCCCATACGACACCCCCCCCACCCGGGGAGCTATTGCTGGGGCGCCACATACGTCCCCCCAACTCGCACAAGGGGCCGATCGCCGTGAGCTCTCCCCAGGCCGGGGGAAGGGGGGATTCCCAGAGCTCCCCCCCGGGGAAGGAAGTCGGTCTCCCACAGCCCCCTCACAGCGAACGCCCGTCCCGCCTCCATTTTGAATGCAGCCCCCCTCCCCGCCGGCAGCTGGCCACGCCTCCCGGCCCGTGTCCACGGTGTGGCGGGAGGCCACCCCAACTGCCCGGGCCGGTTACCTCAGAGAGCCGGGGGCAACTCCACCCGCGCGTCAGTTTCTTCGAGCCTTCCCGCCTCCAGCTCAGCCGAGGCCCCCCGACAGCTTCTACACACCAATCACAGCCAACAGGAAGGCGCTCCGCCGCAGCCAATCAGCAGCCTCGTCGGCCAATGAGCTCCCGCCTCCGCCCCTCACTGCTGGAGCCAATCACGGAGGGCCAAACTGGTGCCCAGCAGTTTTCTTTAGTTGCCTAGGTAACCAAGGGCAGGGGCTGGGGCTGATCCCTGCCCCGCCCAGTCTCCTTTTCTGGCGGGGGAGGGGCTCCTCCCCCGAGGCTGAGACCATAATGGCCAAGGTGTGCTAGCATCAGGGCCACATCGACACACTGGCCCTGCCCCCACTTGGCCAGGGAGTCTTCACAGCCCTGGGCCCTGCTGGGGCACAGCAGGCTAATGCCGGGACCTGCCTTCACCACCCTCTGGCAGGCCCTGGGCCTGCAAGGTCAGGGCGAGGTGGCACAGCCTAGGGCCAGGCCCCCACAAGAATTGTACAGCGCAAGGCAGTGCTGGGCCCTCACTGAGTGCAGGGGGTGACACTCAGCCATCGCGAGCCTCCTGGCCTCACAGCCTTGCAGAGCTGGAGTTGATTTGTAATTGCTGCCACTTGCGCCAGGTCCTCACAGTCAGTCATTTGCCATATTAGGTTGCAGTGACATCTTGTGGGACATTGGTCCGAAATGCTTAAGTGTTCCATGCTGGGGCAGACAGGCTATGATTTGCTTCTGTAAGTTAAGGGGTTTGGGTTGATGGCTTCCCCCCCTTAAATATTCATTATTTCCTCTGCACAACTGAGGTCCACGTGCATAGACAGGCCCCTTGTCTTGTTCAAGTTTACTTGGTTTTGCATAAGTATAAAGACAACTAGCTATTCCAGCTGTTTGATTCAGTTACTTATAGAGCATCGTGCTTTACAGGCAAATAAAAGACATTTCTGTCCTAACCTTAACTGTAAGCAGGGAGAGAGAGAGCTAGGAACACACCCTGGCAGAAACAAACAAGAGGGCAAAGTCAGTGCTAGTGCTGAGGAAGGATACGTCCTATCAGTCTATCCATTTGTTGACTAGGTCTGTAAAAATATCTTGATATTACTATTTGAATAGCAGTAAGTATACTAACAACTATGATATATGCAGATAGCTATTTGATTAACCAGACTTTGGGACACATCTGTCTTGCACCTGTCCATGCTCTAACCATACCAGATCTTCCCTATCCACTTTGGCCAGTATTGTATGTAGTGCCTCAGGCTCCCAACCCATGGAAGTTATTAGCCTATATGATGAAAGATCAAACAAAATACAGACTATAATACAAAACAGTTACAAAATTCATATACTAGTAATATTGTTGTTCACTTTTTCATTTTAAATAGCTCGTAACTATGTAGGGGTTGGACGGCTCAGGGACTGGCAAAAGGATACATCAATGATATTAGTTTAAATCAAGCCCAAATCACTAGTAACCAAAAGTCTTGGTGATTTGAAGACTAGTTTGTACCCTCTGTAAAGTGAGATATTGTTCCACACTGGTTCTTAAAAGTGACAACACATCAAAACTGACATGCTTGGAATAGAGTTGCCATGTCAGCTTACTGCAGTGCAGAGTTGCGTCTGAAGTAGGTGTGGCATTTTAAACACATGAAATTTCAGGCACACAAGATAATGCATCTTCTGCAAGCTTAAAGGTGGTAGTGGATCTTTGGACTGACTGATAAAATGATGAAAGCCCTCTACTTTAAAATAGGAGGGGTAGGGCAGCAGGGAGCATTTGGCAAAGCATCTGGTTCTGGAATTATCTTCCACTTAGTTAATTTAGAGTCCTAAATAAAGATAGGAAATGCTGCAAGACACGAATTCTTCCCTAGGGAAGCGCCTTTCGTTTAGAAAATCTTTTCCTGAACAGGTTTATTGGGGGGGGGCGCGGAATAGGGGGTTCACATTTCAAACTTTACCTTTTAAATGTTTGTAAACAGAGCACAGGATAAATAACTGACTTTGTAAGAAACTCAGTGATTTTTAAAGCCATTTAGTTTGTGCGCTTGAGGCCTGAAGAAAGTGCTCCTTCACTTAAACTGACATCCAATTTGGAAAGGATTTTAAATTTGAAATGAGTAATCAATCCATGCAAGTCCGTTTGAAACAGTTTATGAATCCATCCAAAAAATATATGTACATTAGGTTTCCGTTAAAATGTCACTACAGAATATAAAATATTACAATCTTGAGAAAAACAAATAAAATTTAACTTATTTACATACTTTACATCAATACATATGGCAAAAAGCATACCGTCTTTCTACTAAAAGTGTATTAATACATGGTTATTGCAGGCTTTGACCAATCAATACGGAGGTAATACTGGAATGCGTATTGTACATTTAGTTTTGCAATTTCAGTATTAGCTTTTCTGCACGCTGTCTGATACCTTTGAAGGACAAGCTACACAAAAGTGAAGGCCACAGTTTTTAAGAGAATCGAGTCATTTCTTCATGGGATTAAAAACAGATTTAATCAAAACAATATTTTACTTTTTTTCTTTTTGAAAGACCATGGATGCTGTCATTTTAATACAGTAGAAGATCCTCTTAGAATGGCAACTTTAATAGCAAAATGCCTGCTAGAAGTACTACACTCACCTCACACAACAAAGCCATTTACTTTCGTATATTTATGGCTTTAGTAGAGACTGTCATCCTGCTACACCAAAAGAGCTTGTGCCTGGCTGCAGAAGATTGCTGAAGGGTGTACCAGGCACAATGCAGGAGAGAACAAAGGCCTCATCCTGCAGTTTTCTTGCATGCAGTAACTACTCACTACTTTCAGAAGTTCTGGGTTCGTGAAGTACTGAAGGATTGATCCTTTTAATTCACCAAACTGCACACCGCTCATGACATACTACTTTTCTTAGAACCACTTTGCTATGGCTAAAATCTGCCATTCATCACAAAACAATTTAGCATTAATCACTTTGGCCTCAAGAACACTGATTCTTAAATCCTTTCCAGATGATAAATCAAAAGGTCTTTTGCAGTTAGTGCTTTAGGCTCCTCTCATGTTTGTTACACTAAGCAATATTTAAAAAAACATACTAAAGATAATTGAGCAGCATTATAAAAATAAAGTTCGTTAAAAAGAATGTGCTTTTGCAGTATTAACATTTGTTGAAACTTTTTAACCAATTTCAAGACTTTTTTAAAGTCATCCCAAACTTGTTTGTCCAATTTTTTAAAAGTCGACTCATTTGCAAATGAATGCCTTAATATTTTAAGTTGCTGATCTCATCAACTCAAACCTTGTGCAGTGGTATGAAAAGTGAGTAGAATGATTTTTAGTCTTTGTCTAAGACTTTGTGAAACTGCAGAAGCAATTTACAGTGGTTTTTCCAGTCTTCTCCATGCTGTTCTTTAAAGGAGTGTATTGCATCTTGCTTTGCAAGACACTGTTGCAATTGTGTGTTTGGATTAATGCTTTTCAATCCCAATTTTCCCTGCATGTTCTTCTCTTACCCAACATGTCTCTGCAAGATGGGAAGGCTCAACATGCTAAGACAAACATTAGGCTTACTTCACAGACTGCTTTTTAAAAGGGTGTTATGTGAAAACATTGCAGGAATTCACAACCTAACTCCACCAGAAGGGTCTTCATTTAGGAACATCACTCGAGGCAGAAAGGCTTTCAAAGGAAAGTAATGCAGATCTCCTTAAGAATTCTCCTCTTTTGTGGACTGATCCTGTCCACTTTGTGTAGAATCCAACAAATGAACGATACTACTGGTTCCAATCCAATTCCTAATTCCACTTTGGCAGTTATTACCAAAATTAGAAACTGTACATCGTACTTGCTGTAGTACAACTTCATTTCTGTTTTTCCTAAACTCCACTAACACTCATGTTAATTATTTCAATGATGGTCCTTTCAATACACTGGCATAACTGAACGTCAGGGTCCATGCTTCCTATATTCTTTAGTCCATTCTTATAAAATGAATCTTTACAAAGTCCTGATTGTTCATTTGGTTTCTCCTTTAGTTGCTGGAGACCTATGCAAAATTAGATAGAAAAAAACATAGTTCAACAAAAACTGCTTCTTCTCCTATGTACACAGACAAGTGTGCACGTTTTCAGATGGTAAACTGGAAACATTGTCCCTGGGGTAGTAGCAGATTAGAGCCCAGGTATGCACTGGTTTAATCCCATCAACCTTTCTGAAGATACTGAGGGAACATTTCTGTTTGGTTTCACTTAGGTCCACCTGTTTTTATTTTTGGTTGGTTCTTTTCTGACAGAAAGACAATGGTTTTAATAATTCCTAGGGTAAGGGACACACAGCCTCACAGCACCCTGTGAAATGGGTATTCCGTTTGCTTTAGAAAGGGGAGGAAGCGCAAATCTTGAGTGACTTGCCCAAGACGACATAAGTCAGCAGTACAACTGGGAATAGAACCTAGCTCTCCTGTGCCAGCCATTAGACACTTCTTCTCCCCTTATAGATGCAGCAGACATCACCCACCAATGACATTCCATTACAGGCATATCTTTTTTTTTTTTGCCATTTTAGAATGTGAAGTACAGGCACTTATACTTGAACTTTACACACCTTTTCACTATGAGTTACAAGCTAGTCACTACACAGAACCAGAATATCCCTTCTACAGTGTCCATCATTCCCCTTCCCCAGGCTATTGTAAATGTTATTCCACGTATCCAATAGGACACTCAGTTACAACCCTAACCAACAACTCCTCTCCTGCACAGCATGATATTCTCACTTAATTTCCAGAAAGATATTCATATTTGCTAGAGATATATACTAAAACTAATATGTATGTAAAAAGAAAAGGAGTACTTGTTAGTCTCTGAGGTGCCACAAGTACTCCTTTTCTTTTTGCGAATACAGACTAATAGGGCTGCTACTCTGAAACCTACTATATATGTGTACCTAGTGAGTGGGTCAGCTTGATTTCAACTCATTTCCACTCTAACACCCTGCCCCAGGAAACACTGTTGCGATGGAAAAAGTCAGAGAGTATATTAGAGCTACAACTATATTAA